CCTTATGCCCTGAAAATAAAGTATAGAGCTCTTGGCCTGCAGGGTCCTTATGACCTGTCCCCAGCCCCCCAATTTCTGTGCTGGCACCAAGTCTCATCCCACCTCAGGGCCTTTGCACAGCTATACCTGCCTGCTAACTCCACTCCTCCTCCTCTTTGCCTTCTGCCCCCTCACAGGGAGTCTAAGGCTGTGGGCTGTCTCCCAACACCAGTATTCAGTAAGGGTCCCCACTGTCCTGGTCCCCTTTTCTTTCATGGCACTGAGTACTGTTTATAATCCTCTTAATCATGCATTGTCAAGGAAGGCAAAAGTTGGTCCTTGGGAGAGTGAAAAAAAAAATCTTGAGTGTTAGAATTATTTGTGGCCCTACAGGATAAAATCTGAATTCTTAGTATCATATCTCTCATTAGGAAGAAATTAAATTTAAATAATTTAATTAATTAATTAATTGAATTGCTTAGTTGTAATTAAGCTTAATTAATTTACATGATTTAATTAATTCATTTAAATTTAATTTGCTGTTTCTCCTCAGAGGGCACTCATGACAAAAAAAGTGAGAAACTGCTTGAGGCAGTGGTGAGTTTGCTTTTGCTGAGTCTGAGATCCTCACTGAGCTGAGAGAAGGTAACAGGGGCTCCAGTCCATTCCTGCTAGTGTTTCATCATTTCAGCACACAGTAAGTGCTCAGACAGCACCTTCACAGTGCCGAACCCCACAGAGAACAACCAGAGGAGGCTCAGCTACAGTGTCCATGCTGGGTCTTCTTTCACGGGATCCTATGGGTAATGGGGAGCAATGGAAGACTTGGGAGCTAGGAAGCAAAGAACTTCCTGGGCTGATACACCCCCAATCAGAGATCACAGCTGTGCTGCCTTCCCAAATGTTGCCACGAGGCTGGCCCGGGACAGGAATAGAGCAGCCCACGGCTTCTGCAAGGCTGGAGGGGGTGGATGCAGCTAAACCCAGCTTGGCAGGTGGCTCAATTTGAGTAGGCCTAGAGCCTGGGCTGCAGGTAGGTAGGGGGTTGTCAGGACTCCTAGGTTTGGGGGTCCACCTGGCTCTACTTCACTATCTGGGGAGTCTTGGGCAGGGCAGGTTTCCTGAGTCTTTGCAACCTCCAGGAGAGCCCAACTGCACTGGTCATGAGGATAAACGAACTATGATAAACTTAGCACTGCTGATGTATATATAGACCCTCCCACCTGGTTTCCAAAAGGATTTGAAACAGATTTCACAAGAGGCAAAGAAATGAGCATTTAGAGTGCGCTGGAGTTTACACACGAGCCCTCACGTCACAGACCTCAGGGAGAATCAGGACAAGAAGAATCTCAGATGGCTCCAGGAACCACGTCTATAAAGAAATGAACTCCCTGTCAGAGGAGGTATGCAAGCAGAGAATACAACCCCTGGCGGGGCGTGACTATGAAGGCTTCAGAGCAGCCAGATGTTCGAGTCCCTGATTGGAGAGATGACACAGACCCTATTGCTCAGCCACCACTCTTACCAAGCCAGGGACATTGCCCAAGATAAAGCTGATGGAGGCAGCTGTTTCCTGGGGTCAGGGTTCCCCAAGAAAGAATTACAGTTCCTAGGAACCATTTTTTCCCTAGTGATGCGAGGACTCTTGCCCTCAGACACAAAGTGAGGCAGCCATTGTGGGGGTAACCCCTATGTGTGTGTTCAGTTCCCCGCATGGGTGCTGCTTGCTGTGTAGCCCTGAGCTGGCCACTGCCCTTCTCTGATGCAGAGTCCCCGGGCTGCCCAATAATGGGGTTGCCTCACTCCTGAGAGCCCTTCCAGTGTTGTCCCAGAAGAGTTAGAACTGCACCCCCACCCCCACTCTGTGACAGAGTGGGGCCCACTCTCAAGGCCCCACTGTTTTGATAATGGGCTCAGTCTTGGGATCAGAGTATACCTTCCCTGGGCCTGCCCTTTCTCCTTTGTCATTGCCCACCCATCATGCCAGGCTCTATACACACCCCAATTCCAGAAGAGCTTCCAGTCTCCAGGGGGTCAAGAAAGTAAATGAAGAAATACAAAGGAAATAGAGCAGGTGAGGGAACGGACAGGCAGGATAGGTGGGAGGCTTCTCTGAAGAGGTACATGTGAGCAAAAACATCCTGGGTCAGCCAGGAGGGTACCTCCTCGGTAGGGTAAGAAGCAGGTGATAGAAACCTTTAGGGTAAAGAAGACATCTAGGAAAAGGCCCTGAGGCAGGTCTGGCTTGGTGTGTTTGAGTGCTGATGGTTGAAGGCAGGAAGCTGAGGGGAGAGTGCTGGAGGGACAGTTGGGGAGGATAGGCTGGTGTGAGTTTTGTGGCCCCCCTGAGCAGGTAGATGTCACAGCAAAGTACTGAGGAGAAGAGAGGCTAATATTTAACAAAGATGCCTGCCTTCTCTGACCTCCAGAAGGGAACCTGTCAAACCCTCCCTTGGAGGCCAAATGTCCACTCCAACGAGGCATGGATGCTGCATCTTTAATGCTGCCTGATGAAGCTGACATGCTACAGTTGAAACAGCAAGCCCATGGCCTCCACCAACTATCAGTCTTAGAGAGACTGAGGCAGACCTGGGTCTGCCCTAGGCACCCAGCCTGCTACCTGGAGGGGAATGGAGACATCCCACTCAGCAAAAGGGCCAGGCGGTCCCTGTGCTCTGGTCCCAGACTGCACCTTGACCTTAAGGCACCTGCACCAGACAGGGTTTGGGAAGAGGGCGCCAGCCACGTGGGCAAAAAGGAAGGTGATGGGCCTCGTCTGAGGTCATAGGTTGTATAAACTGTGCAGGCCTGGAAACCAGGCATGTACTCTAAATGTCGACAAGATCTGCACATTGGCTTTCTCCACTTGGGTCCCTGAACACCCTTTGTAGAAGCTGTGGGGTCCCCGAAATGGTAACTGTATCTGTAAATACCCGGTGCTTTACTAAGAGGAATCTGACATGTTTAAAGGACTTTCTGATCTGGCCGGTGCTTGTAAACTGTAAACTATTTGTAAACTATAAAGTGCTCTGTAATCCTATGGAGCGTTTTACAAATTGCAAATGACTTTGTAAACTGTTTCGTGGAGGATCATACACTGCAAAGCCCTTTGTAAACTGTACGGTTCTGTAAGCTGCGGAGTCATTGCCAGCTGTAGAGGGCTGTGCACTCATGCCAATCAGCGGATGAGTCAGGCCTCCCGCCCTTTTACCCAGCATCAGCGTTTGCTGGAGGGAGGGGCAGGTGCGTGCGGCCAGCACAGAACCAAACCGAGGGCACCAGCTCCATGCAGCCCTCCGCCCACCCCAGACCGTCACCCCAGGACACCGATTCTTTAGACCGGCAAATGGGGATGTAGGGAGAGAGCAGGTTGAGTGCTCCAAGACCGGGCGGGGCTCTGGGGACAAGGGGTCAAAGTCGGGGCTCTGCCGCCTCCTGGTGGCTGCAGGAGAAGCGACTGAGGCCACGCCCCTGGTACTCTGGGTCAGTAGGGCCTGTGGGTGCTCTGGTCCGCGCGCACACCCTTGCAAGCCGCCCATCCTCACACACACGTGCACACAGCCATGCAAGCATCTACACACCACGGAGGGCTTCAGGAGCCACTCATGCCTCGTCTTTTCTTTCGGGTCGTCAATCATTCTTGTTTTCATTCAGGAAAGTTTGCCAGCCCTCTCCCTAGCTGCGTTCACTGGCAGGACAAAGTGACAGGTCAAACCTCCCAGGAAAGCAGCTAGAGCTGGGCTACACTGCTGACTGCAGCAGGTGTGGTGACTTCCCCAGGAACTGAGGGGGGGTTGAGAATAACAAGCCTTCGTGATGGAGGAAAGGGCATAAAGCACCTCGAAGCTAAGTGTCGCACTGAGGAAAGGCTCAGTAACGAAGTCTGTCCTATTTGAGGACAGGCTCAACTGAGGATGGTGGGAGCATTGGGCAGAGGACAGACAGACCCCCACGGGGATCTGTGCTCCTCTTCTTGGGAACCTTCCCCAATTCCCCTGAAGACTAGGGAGGCCCTGCTCTCAGACTGTGAGCCGGGAGGAACTGCCTCTTGCGTGTTTGACCCTATGGCTGTAATGCTTTCAGTACTTCAGTCAGTGTCTGGGCCCTTTGCTAAGCTGGTATGAATCATCAGGCTCTGACTGCTCACATGAGGGAAGTATGAAACTGAGGTAACCAAAAAAACAAGGTGAAACACTAGTTCTTCAGGTATCCGGATCCAACTGTGCCTAAAGCCAATTTTTATGACATGAACAAATAAATTCTCCTCTGCTTCAGTCTGGTGGCAGAGAGGGTTTCTGCCCCAGTCCAGGCCTTCAAGATCAGAGGCACACTGGATCTTGGCAAGGGGGCTTTCCTCAAGCCGCTCCTACTCCCCTCAGAGCTATCTCCAGGGCGTGCTATCTTGGAGGTATCCCCAAGACTCAATTTCTCCATCTTACAAGTAGTGCAGCTTTGGACAGGTTTCTTCGGCTCTTTAGATCTGTTTCGTCTGTAAACTACGGATAACATAACAACCTGAGGTTGTAATACCCTCGGTGAGGTGACAGTAGCAAGTCCTGGGCTCAGTGCCTGGCCCATGCCCACTGTTCTGTGCCTTTGGCTATCTCCACACTGACAGCGGGACAGGCGGCCCACCAGTGGACTGGGTCAGTGCCACAGTCCTGCCCAGGGTCTAGCAGGGGCTGGAACCTCACTACAGCCCTCCAGGAGCCTCAGGTCCTCCTATGTCAAAGGACTTGGCAAGTGCAGGGTGTGACCAGTCACAGCGCCCCCATTCTCCTGGTCACGCTGCCCTGGTCCTGTCCCAGGGGCAGAAAGTCCTTCTAGAAGCCAGACCTTCCCTGAGGAACAGGGCTCATCGCTGTGACATAACAGTCTCACACAACCTTTGGCCCCGTGTTTGTTTTTGTTTTCCTTTTCTAAATTAAAACAGCAATCAGGTAACTGTATGAACCGATCGGGGATAAGACCCAGAACGGGCACAGTCCTTTCTTTCTTCAAAAAAATATATTTTCTTTTTTTATTATTTTTTTTTTAAAACACCACCAAAAGCAAATCCACAGCCCCTGTTGCACCGGCCCCAGAAAAGAGTCAGCTGGACATTTCCCCAGCACCTCTCTGAGCAGAGACCTTGGGCCCATCCCTTAGGCCCCAGCCTGAGCAGAAAGGGCAGGTCACTCCCTGCTGGTCCCTAGGGGACAGAAGAAAATTAATCAGCTCCAAACCATGCAAGAAAAACTGCCAAACCCACAAAGCTAAAGAAAAAAAATTTAGAAAGGATAAATTAAAAAAAAAAAAAAAGTAAAACAACACCCCTAGAGGTGGAGAGCTGGGCTGTAACCCATCTCCCTCAGAAGCCCTGTTTGCCAGTGTGGGGTGAGGCCTTGGGTGGCTCCCGGTATCTCCCTCATGGGAATCTCAGGGGAATTCATATGGCTCATCCCTCTCTTATGTCCTGCCCTCTGATGCTTGAACAGAGATGTGGCTGGGCCCCCTGGGCCGAAGTGTGCAAAGTCCATTCAGTCAAGAGATAAAAAAATATACAACTTGGTGGCATCCAGGCTGGTGGAGGCAGAGGCTGCATACAGACAGCAGCTGCCTTGTCTGCTGAGCAGCAGCATATGACCAGGTCACCCAGGTCCCTCCAAGTCCAGGGTCTGGAGACTTGGGGTCCTCGGAGCAGCAGAGGCACTGGCAGGGCCCGCATGGACCTTGCTGGGGACCCCCAATGGTCTGCTTCTTTGGCACTTGGGAACAGCGGCCTGTTGCTGAGCAAGACGAGAGCAGCCCCCTTGATTCCTCCTGATGCCCAAGGCCAGGTGGCAGTAGCTTATGGATGTGGGCAAGCACTGCCCAGCAGAGGTGGCCGTGGGCTCTGGAGGGTGGAGTGGGGTCCAGGCCCCGGCCCTACGAGTCCTCTCCCAGGATCTCCTTCACAAAGGCAGCGATGTCTGTCTTCTTGGTTTTGTGCAAGGTGAAGAAAGGGTGTTCCTGGGGGGATAAGGAAGGGCATTCACTTTGGTGGGTGGTGAGGGCACAGTGGCGCTGCTCCTGCCTCCCTAAACCAGCCCAGTTCTTCTGAGTTCCTCCCGCCTGGAGTACCCTGCTCCTGCCTGGCAGACTCCTACTTATCCTTCTAGGACCTCCACCGCCAGGAAGCAGTCCTTGTTAGAAACTGTGTTGAAGACTTCTCCTTGGTGTCCTGCAGCCTTCTTCCAGCCACTCATCTCACAGTTCCCTACAGGTGCCAGGATGCTGGCTGGGCCTTTCCTGTAGAATGCCCCCTCCACTCTCTCTATCAGTAGGTAAATGCACCTTTCCTGGACAGTTCAAATGGCATCTCCTCTGTGAAGCCATCCCTGATGCTTTCAAATACAATGGCCCGTCTGTCCTCCCTCCCCTTCCCCTTCTGTCATAATACTGTCTGTGTGTGCCTCCACAGGGGTAGGTGTGGAGGAAGATGAGGGACCCAGGAACACAAGAGTGTTTGAGTCCCTAAATCAATCAGTACTGGGAGCCAACCCATGCCCAGAAGTTGTTTCCACCACACACTCACCATCAGTTCCAAGTAGCTCATCCGTTCTGCAGGGTTCTTCCTTAAGCTAGGAGAGAACAGGGCAAGCTGGAGGCAGGCTGGCATGGAGGAGAAAGCCCCAGTCCTGCAGGCTGGACTCGCCCCTGACCAGGCAGCAAGGGGAACACATGCTTTCACGGCTCAGAAAGAAGGGACAGGACTCCTCCTCGGGTCCTTGGGTGTGCAGGACAAGGCTGGGGCTGACTTTCTGTGCCTGGGGGGTCTTAGCTTTCTTATCTTTCCAATGACCTAGAGTGGTCCCAATACAGAAATGATACTGAAGTTCCACAATTAAGGATACTTAGTATCCTTAATCATTATCCCGGTTCCTGGAAGAGGAGAGGCCCACACTAAAAAGTGACTAATGACTGTCTGCCATGTTCATTTCCAGTCTTTCTTATTAGCTACTAATGAAGCAAAAGCTAAGAATTTTCTTTAGCATCTCTTTGTCCACAACACATAGATAGCTACTGACAAGTCATGTTCTCATTGTCTCACTGTGGAATAATTTGTTATTTTATTTTACAAATATCATTAGTATCTCAAGGGTTATTTTAGAAGACCCTACTTTTATTTCCATGTAGTTATTTCCTCTTTAGTGTTTTACTTAATTATGATCAAAGAACATGTCTGTATGAATTTGCCTTTTTTCTTTTTCCCCGTTTATTTTGAAACCTCAAACACAATTGACTTGTATAAGGTTCTCTTGACCATCTTTAATTTGGCCAGAGCTCTAAACGGCAACAAAAGCAAGTTTGTTTGTTATGCTATTTAAATTCTTCACATGCTTTTGTTTTCTTTTTCAGTCTATCTGGTCTGTTTCTTTCTAGGACTACATTAAAATCTCCCCCCAGGATCAGTTTGTCGAATTTACATATTTTGATGCATTGCTGTTAAAGAGGTCAGGTCCAGGAAGGAGCTAGGATGTGGCCAGGACAAGAAGGAATGCAGGCAGGGTGCAGGGAAGCCCCAGCAGAGCTGGCTGAAGACTTACCACTGTGCAGTGAAGTCCACAAACTCGGGGGAGAAACGGTCAGCTGGGAGCTGGGGAGATGGCTCCTCCACCACCTGCTTCAGCTGCTGGAATGGGGTTCCCCAGGACTCATATGGAAACCGGAGAATGGCCATCTCAATCTGCAGTGGACAGTGGTGTTAGTCAGGTACCCCAACTCCAAGACACATTCAAACTCTATAGCTGGATACATTAGAAACCTGCCATCCTGGTCCAGGGCCCAGACCTGAGCCACAAGGTAGGTCAAGATGACATGTGACATCAGAGTGAAGACAAAAACTAGGGGGACACCAGTAGCTAAGTTCCCTTGACCTAGCCAGTCCTAGACTGTCCATGGGCTTGACCATTAGCAGGTATTCAAACAATCTGAATTCAAAAGATTTCATATAAAAACCTAGGTTCTGGCTAATCTGGAAAAGTCAAGAGTTGACAACCCTGAGTCACCTTTCCACAGGTAGCAGTCGCAAAGCATCTCACACAGACGATGGCTTTTCTGCCCAGGACAGGCCACTCTCCTCCCTACTGTCTTAAGCATCTGCCACCATTTATTTGAGCTATTGTTATAGAGGAGGCAAAGGAAATGAAGTGATTCTCAATGTTTATCTCTCCAGCCCTGGAAGGAGTGTTAGACCAGGAGGCCCACATGTGATAGGCTTACTATACTTCCAGCACTGGTAACTGACCTTTGCAACCCCTCCTCAGTGGAGTCCTATCAGCTCACCTACCGGTATCCTGTAAGGCCCATCACCAATGCCTCTTCCTTCAGGAAGCCTCCCTAGCTCCACCTAATCACTTTTTCTTCTGAATACCCTGGACATGTGGCCATGGGGGGCTCATCTCTCCTGCTGGATCTGGATCTCCCCAAGAGAAATCAGGGTTGTCAGCCTCTATGCTCAAGGGGGCCGCCTAACCTCACCTGTGGTTGGTGAGAAGTCATTTGTGGAAAAGAGTGGCTAACTTATGACAATTCTGGGTTCCGATTTTGACTGTCAAGATGAAAAAAAAAAAAAAATCAGGTCAGCCCAGGCCCCTGCCTGGAATAGCAGAGGCCTCGTACTGACAGGCCATAATCACCGTAATGAACGGAAGAGACCTCAGCTCAAACAAATGCTTCGTGTTGGCAACCAGCGCCTAAGCAGATCTCTAATTATTGTGCTACAAAGGGCCTTCCCATTAGGCTAAAGACCCCTTTCCAGCAAAGATACAAACACACCCCACAGATGGAAGAGCTGACAATGCAGTGGGGGTGGTGTCATCCTCTGTGTGTGTGTGTGTGTGTGTGTCTGTGTGTGTGTGTGTGTGTGTGTGTTCACAGGGCAAATTCAAGGCACTCTTTCCTAGAACTTTCATGATTCCAACATGGAGAAGTGAGGGCTCTGTCTGGGATCCAAAGAAACCAGCAGCCAACCAGAATGTACTATCAGGAAAACAGAAAAGTATTTGGCCCTTTGACCTAGTGATCCTTTTCCTGGTAATTTTTTCTAAAAAGCCCAAAAGAATGAAAACAAAATAAAAAGCTACCTCTGGGCACAAAGATGCACAGGGCAGTGTTATCTGTAATAGCAAATAACTAGAAGCAGCCAAACTGTCCAGTGCCAGGGGACTGGCACTGCACAGGGCTCAGCTGTGACCGCGTCACAGCCTGTCACACCCCAAACAGTCATGTGATCCACACGTGGTCATTGCTCATTCTGGCCTAGAGCCTGCCTGGATCTTGTCCCTATTCTGGGCCATGCCCTTGTGGGTCTGGGTCTGTGGCTCTGGCCGAGGGTCTGCAGAGTGGGCCCGCAGAGCACCATCTGAGGAGGCGTCACCTCGGACACCTCAGCCGGCTTCGCCAGGCCCTCACTCGCAGGCAGGGGAGGGATTCCACACTGAAATCAGGAAAAATCAGACACAACCAGAGTGGGGGCTGGTTGGTAGATGGCAGCAGATGATGGTAGCGTCTTTAGAAGAGACGCCTACGGGAGATTACCACAGCCCAGAGAAATAAGGATGATGTGATGCTAACTGAAAAAGGCAAAGTAAAAAACTGTATGTTTTTTAAAAAGTCTAGAGGAAATGCATAATGTCGGCATCTGACAACAGGGAATATGGGATATGTGCCTTGGAGTGGAACAACTATGGTGACTTTTCCCTTTACTTTTCTGTGTTTTTATATTGTCTCTATTACTCTTGTAACCTGTAGGCGAAAGTTAGCCTGTACTAAGGGAGCTGTCTCCTAGGCCACCACGACCCCCTCTGATGTGTGCTTGCCAGTCTGTTGTCCCTGGAGCCTTCCCTCTGACGGTGACTTGCTCCGACCAACACGATGAGGCAGAAGTGCAGCTGGAGCCTCACACCTCTGAGCCCTTCTGTGATGGAGGGGCCCTCATAAAGATGTCCACCACCCGGAGGCCACCACAGCTGCGCTGCTATGCCCACCCCTCGGGATCCTTTCCCAGACCCCTTCCCACCATATATGTCACTGATTAGGATTAGTGACATAACCCACCAACACGAAGAAGCCAGAGGCAGTTGGACAGGGAGGACACTGGCACCATGAAAACATCAAGGACAAATCCACCCTGGCACTCCCCCATCAGTCTTGATGATGGGTTTATGTGGGGGGGAGGGGGATGGGGGTGGGAGAAGAGGAAGGGGGCAATGGCCACCCAGGCTGCATCACCTGGGCTCATCCATGCTGGCCGGCTGGACAGCAGTGCCGCCCAGGAGCCCAGATCTCATGTGCATCTTCTAGCACATCCTAGTGCTTCCCTAACCCTCGAGTCCACCCTCACACACTTATAAATGTGTTCTGCATAATGAACAGCCCAGGCTCGCAGCTTGGGGAGCCCTGACCAAGACTGGCAGTGGGGGAGAGGCATGCTGGGCAGTTCCAGAAAGAACAAGAGGCACATGAGCCCAGCCCTACCTCTGAATCACAGAGGCACCTACTCCAGTCTGCTGCGGACTGGTATCTGCCCCCACAGGCCCCAAAGTGGACCCCCACCCCTCCCACCACACCTAGGACCCACAGGCAACATACCTAATGTGGTGAAAAAATTGTAAAGGTTCCTACCATTTTGCCTTTGAAATCATTTGTATACAAGGGCTCACTGCAGTGGCGCTGGCTGTGATTTCCCAACACACAGCACCCAGGTTGCTGCAGATGTAAGGACTGCCTTGAGGACCACACCTCACCCCCAAAGAGCACAACGTTACCTGTAGGCATCCCCTTAAATGTCATGATTAAGGGCACATTTTCTTCTGAGGTTTTGGAGCCAACACTTTTTTCCAGGGTCTAAATTATCTGACACTCGGCCCTCCCTGGTGGCGCAGCGGGTTAAAGCACAGCACTGAGAATCTACAGCCACTTCCGCATGAGTTCGATTCCCGCCTGCCCCGGAGGTGACCACATGGCGTGGCAGACCTCTCCTGGCCCGCCCGCTGCTCCCCTCAGCAGTGTACTTCGTCAATCTGCCTGTTCTGTTCCCCACTCTGTCTCTAGTGAAGCCTCTCGCCTCCCCTGAGCTTCTGGCCTGAACCCCAGTTCTGTATATACAAATAAATAAATCTTTAAAAATAAATTATCTGACACTCCCCAAAAGCTTAAGGGCGCAGGCACAGTCCCTCGGCCCCACCTGACCGGCCGCCAGCCCCGCCCCAGGTGGTACCATGGTGATGCCGAGGCTCCAGACGTCAGACTTGACATTGTAGCCCTTCTGGTTCAGCTCAGGGTTGATTCTCTCCGGCTGTAATGGGAATCAGTGAAGCATGGGTACCCACCCTCAGAGGAGGGACCCAAGGAAGGTCCCACTACTTCCTCTGCTAGATCTTGCCTACCCCATCCCAAACTGAGGGGCCATCCTGATCCATCTCCCCATGGCACACGTGAGGAGTCTGAGGCCAGGGAGGGCCGGGTTTCTGTATTGATGACCCAAATCTTGACTGGCAGCTGCCCTCACCCAGAAAGGTGGGGCAGGGAAGAGGGGTCCCGCCTCAGGATACTGCGGAGGGACAGGAACTGCACAAACTCCAGAGTCACCTCTATTAATTTTGACCACAAAATTATTCATCCAAGGGGGATTACTGGGAGGCACCATTAATTAACAGGTGAAAAGAAGCTCTTTGAGCAGGCTGGGCAGCAGGTTGCCCTCTGAGGCAGGAAATGTGGACACTAGGGAGGCTCTGCCCTCCCACTCAGAGGGCAGAGGTGGCCAAGGCCTGGCAGTTTCTCCTGGACAGCTCAGGGACCACTTACAGCCATGTAGGGCTTGCAGCCAGCATCCATCGTCTTGGCCACAGAATCCACCAAGTAGCCGCTGATCCCAAAGTCGCACATCTTCACGTGGCCCTCCTTGTTGATGAGGACGTTGGATGGTTTCACATCTGCAGAGACAGATCTACCTTTTTCAACTACCGGCTTTGGATCCCCCCAGAGATCTGCTGGCTTCTCCCATGCCCCTTGGCTCAGAGGGGTCGGTGGGGGGCTGAGGTCACACAGTTAGGGTGGTGCAGCCCCGGGAACTCCAGCCACTAGCCAAGAGCAGGGAAGGAAGCTCCATCCCAGGCCTAAGTCTCTGCACCAGCAGCTGAGGTCCAAAGGTCAAGGCAAGTCCCTATTATGCAGACTCACAGGCAGAACAGCCTCCACCTCCTATATGACCTGTATTCTAGGGTCCTCCCCCACTGGAGGGTCAGGACATAACTGGAGGAGAACCTAGAAACCGCCCAAGTGTCCACACTGAGGACGGACAGGTTCAGCCAGAAAGTGCAGCAGCTAGAACACAGGAGGCAGAGCTGACGTGAGCACTGAGTCTGCTCCTAACAGAGCAGGAGGCAGGCAGAGCCTACAGCAGGGAATCTTCCCACAAATGCACACCCGAAACACACATATTACACGTGCATTCTCTGGGGCTATCTGTACACACAGAAATACACAGGTGGAACAGAAGGTCTCAGGCCAAAATGCCAACAGACGTGACCTGGAGCAGCCAGGACACCACCAAGTAGTCAAAGAATTCTTAGTCTAATTAGCTCTCTAAATAGCGGTGCATCTGGGTAAGTGAACTGCTCAGCACTGAAAGTGAAAGAACATGGGCATACATAACCCAGTGCACCTCAGAAATACTAGGTCAAAAGAGAGAGGCTGGACAGAGGCACACCATGCCGTGAGTCACACGTGTGAAGCTGAAGAACAAGCAAAACCAACCTACTGTGAGAAAATCAGAGGGGGGGATGGGGAGGGGTGGGGGGTGGGGGCTGTGACTGACCAGAGAGGGCTAAGGAAACTTTCTGGAGTGGAGAAAGGCTGGAAACATCCTGCATCTTGCAGGAAAAGATTACATAAGTGCTGATCAGATTCGCCAAATTATTCATTTCATTTCACAACATGTTAACTACATGTCAAACTAAATTAGTCAGCCTTCCCACAACAAAAGCCAAGTCCTGGCTCCAAGGACCAGCTAAGCAAACCTAAGGGGTGGTGGCTGGGTTCTGGCCCCCACAGGCCTGTCACAGCTCATCACCATGAGCCTCAACGCACTCATCTTGAAAACAGAGTTTCGCCCACCACAAAGACCCACATGAGCCACATGTGAGTTGCCTCTGTGTCATCTGTTTCTGTCCCTGCAAAACCACCTCTAATCAGGCTAGGCACTGACCTCTGTGGATCACAGACAGCTTGCTGTGCAGGTGCTCCAGGGCCCTCACGATCTGGTGTTGGGGATGGGAAGAAAAAGACAGCATAGATGTAAACCCAGCTGCATCAACCTGGCAGTGACACCACCCCTGCCCTGACCCGCCCCACCCAGACCCTGTCTGTCTGTCTTCTCGTCTCCATATATACCCCAACCTTTATTACCCCAGGCTTCCACCCACATACCAGCACTCAGCTCTGTGTCCTGGCAGCCTTGTGCCAACACACCCAACTGTGGCTTCATTCCCACCCAAGTGGTCAGGGTCTCATGCCCAGAACTATGGTAGGAATATGATGTACCCACCCAAGACCCTTTGCAAAATCCTAGACTTGTGAGCCCCGGAAGTGGGGCATCCAGCCCCTACCAGGCTCCTGGATATAAACCAGTCCTGCTGTTTCCTGTCACTTCCTCTTCCCCTCAGCAAAGCCAGTAGCCTCCATGCTTGGAGTCATTTTCTGCAGGAAGATGCACTGATGGAGCTTGAGTAATAATCCCAAAGATACTGACTGAATACTCCCACATGGGTATGTTTTAAATGCTCCCCAAGGCAGTCAGCATAGAGAACTCTTGGTATAACTGACTCCATTTCCAGTTTGGTCCTGACTGCTTGGTGCTCAAGATGAGGGTCGCTGCCCTCTAGGAGTGTTCAACGTTAAAAGGGGAACATTTTTGAAACTAACTTTTTTCCCAACTAGGCTTATACCTCTGTGGGCTGCCATGTGGCGATTTTAATATGAAGAAACACGAAATCCTTTTGGGAGTGCATGTGAAGGCTTAATGCCCCTGAATATGCCAAAGCGTTATGGTTCTAGGGTCCCCTCATCAAGAAGCTCCAGTGCCCTTAACCTGGACCTCTGGGGACAGTCCCCAAGTTCAGCATTACACTGGGGTCCCGCTCTGCCCAAGAGACCAGTAACAGACCAGACTCAGTACCTGCTACAGCTTTATAACAAACCACAAACCTGCCCAGCCCAAGGCTACTTACAGACACAGCGATCTCCCCCAGAATGTCCTCTGGAATTGTCATGTTTTTATCCAGCACTTTCCGGTAGAACTTGTCCAGGGACGTGTCCATGAGCTCCATACAAATCCACACATCTCCCTGTGGGGGACACCCAGAAATCAGCCTGGGTCAGACAGACAGAGCTGCAGCTATGCTCAGGGGGTCTGCCCTGGTGCCTGCTTCTTCCTGAACCCACCTTCCTGTACCCACAAGGCCTCTCAAACACATTTACTAACCCATGAGGCACAGATATGTCCTCAGACATCAGCTTCCACACTCTGCCCCGCAAATTTCTCACTCGGCATTGCCTCCCCCTTCCAGTCTGGTCTACATCACTGGGTCCATGCACCAGGCTCCCCCACTTTGTCACCCCTGGTCTCCCCATCTGATCCCCTAATTCCGTGGCAGTTTCCACAGAAAAATGACTAAAACCAGGGGTTAAGTCTCAGCACTAAGAAGCTATCCACAGCCACTGCATAATGAGTCCAATACCCAGCCAGGGAGCTGACCCACATGGCGCGGCAGACCTCTCCTGCCTCGCCCGCTGCTCCCCTCAGCAGTGTATTTTGCTCAATCTGCCTGTTCTGCTCCCCACTCTGTCTCTGGTGAGTCCTCTCATCCCCCACCCCCATACCCTAGTTCTTGTTTGCATAAAAAAATAAATCTCTAAAAAAAAAAAAATGACCAAAACCCACACCTGACAAGGTCCCTCCCCAGGGCTTCCAGATCTGGCCTCGCCAGTTCAGCAAATTGATGCAGCCCCGCGGACCCCTCCTGCCTCAGTTCCCACAGTCCCACATGTCAGATTCATCCAGCCCTGATCTGGATGGGCCTCTCCTCCATCTGCAGTGTCCTTGCCAGTCTGCCCTCTGTTCCCCAGCAATCTCCTGTGTACCCTCCAGACAGCAGCCATCGAGGAAGGTTGGGTGTGGCATCTCCTTGGGCTAGCAAAGGCACCTGAGTTTCCCTGGCAGTGTTGACCCAGGCGAGGCCCAGGTGTGCCTCTGTCACCCCAGCGCCACAGAGGCAGTGTGCTCCTGGCACACAGTTGGTTCTCAGCCAACCAGATAAGTAGGTGACAAGGCACTGACTCACTTCTGGATCCCCTACACCAAGCAAGCTCACGGAACAAGTAAGTGCTCAGGAGGTGAGAACAGGCAAAGGGAGCCCTGGCATGTAGGCAGCAAATCAACATACAAAACCAGCACATCCACTCTGGGCTCCTGGCTCCACGCACACCCCACACGAGCCCTGCATGACACCCGAATCAAGTCAGCAGGCACCCACCTTCTCACGCTGAAGGCTACCTCCCTGACATCACCCTTGACTCCTCTCTCACCCCACACTCAGTCCTCCTGGAGGACCCAGCCCAACCCTCACCTATCTCCGCACCACACCTGCTCTGAGCCCCAACCTGCAGCAGTCCTGGGCCTGAGCTCTCAAGCGCCTGGAATAAGTCAGGGCTGCCGGCTAGACTGGGGGGGCAGGTTTGCAGACACAGGCGGGTTGGGGGCCGTCTGAGCTCCCAGCCCAGCACCCACCACCCACCCTCAGCTAGGGCCTCACCTCTCTGAAGAGGGCCCCATAAAAAGTGACGGTATAGAAGCAGTCGACTGTGCGCATGTTGACGTCCAGGTCCATGAGCAGACGCTTCTGCTCCTGCGAGTTCACGGTGGCCCGGATCCGCTGCGGGGAGGACGGTTGCAGTTCAGGTGCCAAGAGGCACAAGGCAAACCACCCCACCCCCATCTTGCATATGAACAGGCCAGGAGCTGAGGGGCACCATAGGCAGGCTCAGCCCACACACCTCCTACGAGCAGCCCCACAGCTGTCTCCTCAGCCAGGGCTCCCTGACAGATGGGGCTGGGGCCGGTGAGGCCGTGCTTACCTTAACAGCCATGATGGTTCCACTCTGGGCATGCCGTACCTTCTCTACCACCCCATAGGCTCCACGGCCCAGCTCTGATATGGTCACCAGGTCATCGGCCTCCACCTCGAAGTTCTTAGGGGACAGAAAAAAGAGAGGACTGATGGCAGACAAGTCAGGAATCAGCCCTTATCCTTGGTCTGGTGGAGACGGCTGGGTCAGCAGAAAGAAGGGAGAGTTAATAAGGCAGACTTGGCTCAAATCTTGACCAAGCCACTTCTTGCTGTGTGACCTGGGACACATCACTCAACCTCTCTGAGCCTCATGTCACCTCTATAAAATAGGCACAACACCAATGTCCAGGGGCTGTAAACAATGCCCCAGCCAGCACAGAATCCTCAAAGGTGCACTGTCCCTCCTCCCCACCCCACTCATGGGACTGGCTGAGTCATTTGTTCATTCACTATTTGAGCACCAACCACATGCAAGTCCCTGTTTTTGGTGCTGGAGATGCAGATAAAATAGAAGAGTCCTATAGCCTGCTCCCTCTCATGCCCTCTATTGCAAGAGGCAGTTATAAAAGCAACATGTAAGTTGACCACGGGACATCAAGCAGTGGTAAGTGTTAGGGAAGAGACATAAGCTGGGAGAGGGCCCCACAGTGGGGTCTCTGCCTAGAGACCCTGAGACTGTCACTGGTGCCCCCTGGAGACACACATGCAGTGCAGCTTGGGCCCCAGCCCCATCTGTGCCCAGGGTTTGCTCCAGGCCTGGGTAGGGCGGGTACATTCAACACTCTGTTCCTACAAGTGATACAGGTACAGGTGGCTTCATGACCCAAACTCTCATGCTGGGAGATTTTATGACAGCTTTAGCTCACCAGGGCCCACCAGATTAGCCACTGCCCCTTCCCCAGACATGAGGGTCAGAAAATCAGTGCACAGGGTTCCACACCAGCATCCGGGGAGCAGCAGAGCGCTCCAAAGCCCAGCTATATCCACCACCACAGCACCTCCCACAGCCCCTAGGAGCCACTTCGCCCACTCATCAAATGAAGACAACAGGACTCAGGGGCTCCAAGGCCCTGTGCAGGGTATACAGCCAGTGCCTACCCTGTCTCCAATGGTGATGAAGGTCCGGGAATCCAGGTTCCGGGGCGGTCTGGGGGAGAAAGAAGATGCTGTGAGTCTCAGCGAGAACTAGCCCTTCCCCCCAAGAGAAGGGGCAATCCAGCCGCAAGCAACTGCAGGGATGTGCTGCTAGTCCTGGTCTCATCAGACACTGGGCGCCTGCTGTGACAGGCACTCAGGGTCATAGGACACGCCAGGGCCTCACCCTGCCATCCTGAGATTGTGAGAGGACACAGCATAGAAGGCAGTGCCTGTGAGTCCCCATGCCACCATGCCACTCTGACCCCCCTCCTCCCCCCACGGGGCCCTCTTCAAGGAGCCCCTCCATGCTGAGCCAGGGAGAAACTGAGGCAAACTCACGTGGGGTTGGGCATGGGCGGCTTAGAAACACAGGATATCCGTAAGTCCTTCTTCCTCTTGGACTTCCCTAAAAGAGAGAGAAAGTGAGGCGTCAAGTCCGTGCTCACTTAGTCAGAGATCCCGGGCTCCCCGTAGCTGGACAAAGTGGGAACAGAGATGACTCAGGTCCCCTGTCTCACAGGGAACCCAGGCACAGACATAGACGCTCGAGGGTCAGTGTGGTCAGTGCCATGCCAGGATCCCAAGACCTCCTGGGCACCCAGAAGATATGTCTACCCAGGCTGGAAGTACCCATGCCCTGCCTGCCCTCCTGGAAGCTGTCCATGGCCGCCTGAAAAAAGAATGCACCTTCAAAGAATTTGGCTGCTCCTTTGTGACCTGTCCCCACAGGGCACACAGCGGCTGGCCACTGAGCACCACCTCAGGTGAGTCACGTCTGAGCTGCCAAGGTTTGCAGCAGGCCTCTGGACGCCATCCTGAGGCAGCCTGTACATCAGTGCTATGTCCTGGACATCTGTTACAGGCTTCGGTTTGTCTCCTGGAAATTCATGTATTGAAGCTGAGGCAAGAGTCTCTCACAACGTGGCATTATTATGAAATAGGGCCTTCCCAGGAGTGACTAAGTTAAAACCAGGTCATTAGGGTGGACCCTAATCTAACATGATGGAATCCTTATAAAAGAGGAAATTTTGGACACAAGCAAGCATAGAGGGAAGATGTGCAAGCCAAGGAGGCCTGCAAAGACCCTCCCCTGGTAACTCAAAAGGAGCCAGCCACCCTGTTGACACGTCGATCTTGGGCTTCCAACCTCCAGAACTGCCCGACAGTGTCTGTTGTTTAAGCCTGTGTGTGGCGCTTTATTCCAACAGCCCGAGGAACCTGCACCGCCTCCAATCCCTTCGTGGCGTTTAACCTTGGTGGGAGCATCTGAGCAGACTGCTCCTTTCAGGTCCCAGCTCTGCTAAGCCTCAATTTCCCCCATATGTCATGTTGGAACACAGGCACCCTCCTCAGGGTGGCGAGACTTGCAGCAGATGGAGGTTGGGGAGCCCCTGGCCAAAGCAAACACTGGGTGGGCATCACTCACAGCGCAGCCCAGGGCTACATGGACCAGGAAAGGCAGAGTAGAGAGCAGTGGGATCTGAGCAGGCAAGCCCCGGCCCTTCTCAGCCTCAGCTTCCCCAGCTGTGTGCAGCATACTAACACCAAGGGAGCGCGCGTGGGGAGAAATACAAGGCTGGAAGCACAGGACCAGGATAAAGCAGAGGGCTCCTTTCCTTCCAGGACCCTGCTGTTCAGAGGTCCCCACACTGACCCACACCCAGCCCAGAAAACTAAGGCCACAAAGAGAAGCCCCCCAGGCCAAGGTCACAGCAGTACATCAGAGCAGGCCCAGGACATAAGTCCATGTTTGCTGCTCCCATAGTCCATGTGCTTTCTAGAGGACACAGGACATACTGAGCGCCTCCATGTCTCCGCTGGCCAGTGAGGGCTGGACAAGCTCAGGAACGGAGGTGCTCTGGGTCTCATTTGTTCCCAGAGCCATTGATACAGAAGGAGACCGGAGTCACCCCATATCCAAAGATACACCTGATACTGCAGCATCCTCCCACCAGCCCTGTACCTCCACATCAGGCTGAGGGGTGACAGCAGGGATGCCAAGGGGCTCCACTTCTTGGGAAAAGGGGAGGTAGGTCTACCAAACCAGCCAACACCAAAGCAGGGCAGAACCAGGGCCTTGCCTCACCCATCCACTGTCCCGCATATCTCAGTGCCCTCTAGGCCTCAGTTTTCCCATCTGTGTGCAATGCTGCTCCTGAGTCCTGGTTGCCAAGCCAACAGAGATGTGGGTAAGATGAGGAGAGTCCAGCCAGTGCCTGCAGCATGCACAATTCCGGGCCTCGTGGCCACAGGTGGGGAACGGAGCTTACCTACATGCCAAGTAAGGAGGCCCAGGCTGCAGGGTGGATGACCGGAGGTCTAGCAGGGCCAGACCTCCAAGTTACGCAGCAACCAGGGCCAGCTCTGGAGACTAAAGCCTGGTGCACAGTTCTCTCCCATCCCCACCAAGTTCTTGCCTTAATCACCACACCAAGGACACCCAGGAAGCCCACTTTTGCCCCCAGGTGCCAGGCAAGTTCTCCCTCCCTCTCACCCACAGGATACAGGGAAGGAGCTGGCTAGTTGAAAAAGGGGTGTCTACCACATAATCAGCGCTAAAGAATCAGCAGTTGTAGGACTGGGCGCTAAGGCTGGCACAGCAGAGACCACTGTTTGCTAGGGTCACCCTTTGAAGAAGGAGCAGTGACACTTCAGAGGTGGCAAAGCAGGGTTCAGAGTCATCAGAGTGTCACCTAGTAAGAAGAAGCATGTGGGCCTGGGTCTGGCACCCCTGCTCTGGGCACCCACACAATAGGTCCCATATTCCAGGCCCAGATACCTAGCATGTGGGTCACTGAGTTGGGACCCGGCCATGACTCCCAAGACCACCCAGAAAAACAGTGCTGTGCTGCTCACAAGCCTGCTTTTGCAGGAACATCCTCCTCCTAGCCTCCTATCACCAGCCCCACACCCCCTCTCTGACCCCCCTCCCAACACCCCCATCCTCACCAGCAGGGGCTGGTGCCCTCTGACCACAGCCAAAGGAAATGAGACCCACCCGAAGGCCTGCACCAGCTGCCATGGGTGTGCTCAGAGCACTGGGAGACGCCAGCCCCTGAAGCCACTTAAAACCAGGTCCGGATCCAGCATCTATAATGACAAAGTATTGTTGCTGCCGCTGTAAAGGGAGCCCCAGATCCTGCTATCCCAGAGCTGGATGAACAATCAGCAAACCTAACAGCCCCTGTGCTAAGGGGATCCCAGCATCTGCCCTGGAAGGTGATCGGAGTACAAGGGGCCAACATCCACAGGCTCTCCAAATCCATGACAGGAACCCCCAGAAGCCGGACTCTGAGGTGCATCCCTCTATGCTCTGACAGCCAGCAGCAGACACAGTGCCAAGCCAAAGACCCTGAGAGGCGGGTCACATACCTACTACCCAGCTAGGAACCTGACAGCACAATCCAGGCCCCTGACAAAGAGGGGTGCCAGCCTCAGCTCTTGGTACAATTCATGACTCTCTGCCCTAAGTTCAAATCTCACCTTTGTCCCTTATAGGCCAGACAACCATGGACAAGTAAATCCCCAAGCCACTCTGATCCTCCCTCAGTGTCCTCCTGGGCACATGAGGAAGAACACAGCACCCACTTGGCAGAGTTATCAAGGCTCTCAGAATGCAACGGGGCAATCACCCGCCACCTGCCATCTCAGGCCCCCTAGCCCAGGCTTCTGGATCTGCACAGAGGCCTCAGAAACAAGTTTAGTGAATAATGATAGCAACAGCTGTAGTCACTGGGACCCCACACCCCACTGCCCATCATTGGGGTGTACCAGTCACCTAATCTCCATCTGTGCACAAGGTGTTTTTATCCCCTATTACAAGGGAGTATGGCTGGTTGTCAGCAACCAAGTATGTCTCCCCAAAGGTTCTTCCGTGCATTAAAGCAGCAGCCTGTATCATGACTCCACAAGCCCCAACAGTCCTCTGGGGAGGAGCTCCTAGCCTCACTTATTTGGGGAAACTGAGGCCCACAGGTGAGGTCACCACACGAGTCAGGGGTCTAGCCGGTCACTTATGGGCTTGCTGACTTGGACACCCCAAGGCTGGTGGCTCACGGCATCCTTCCTGCAGACAGCTTGTCAGCTGCACGAATAGGCCTGCTACACTCCCAAAAGGACACAGAGTATCTCCTGCTGATCAGGAGCCCAGAGGCACCCCTAGATGTCTGCGCCTAGCACATTCTACACAGCAGAGAAGAGAAACGCCAAGGCATGTGGCCATCATTCCTGTGCAGCATAGAGGTATCTATGCTGCCCTTGGGTCAGACCAAGTCACAGCGGCCTCTTACGTGGGGCAGGGGCTCTGGGCTGTGGTCACAGGGTTTGTAAAGCGCTAGGAAGATCAGTGTTATCAGCACTTCATGTGGCGTGTGGCAGCCTAGGGAGCAGCCCTCTCTCGACTGTCTCTGCTCTTGGTCCCATGCTCGCCTTCCTCAAGCTCCAGCCTGCACACCCATCTCCCACCCTAGGACTTGAAAATGTGGTAAGGAGTGCTCCCTCGCAGCAAGCCTCAGTTTCCCACTGTCACCAGCACTCTCCATCTATAGCCGGGCTGGGCAGGCAGTGCCATGTGAGGTGGAACAATGAGGTGGAACTGGCCAGCTCCCAAGTTGGAAGGAGAGAGGCTACTGCACGTGGACAAGGCTGATGGAAGAGTGTGATCCTAACCTCCTGGTCCACCTGCCTCGGCCCCAAGCCTGAGTCTGGAGTGACGTGGGTTCCATGGACCATCCAGAGCAGCTGTCAGAGGGAATGGGTGAGGCCACATGGAGACAGCCAAGAAACAGGCCACAGGCCACCAGCCACTGCCACTATCTGCCTCAGACGTCAGGAGGAGGCCCAGATGGCCAGGCAGCCCAGAGCTGCCCAGGTGCAGGCCCACTGTGACGACCGTCGCCACAACAAACAGAGATTCACAGGCTGCCACCACCAAACCACAACAAGTCACCAGCCTCAGCATGCAGGGCCCCAGGCACAGGTGGGCACAGGGCCAGGCATCTGTGTGTCCTCGGCCCACTCCAGCCTACCAGCAGAACCACAGGCAGGAAACAGGGAACTCAGCCAACGACCCAAGGTGCAGAGACAGAGTGTCCCCAGGCTCAGACACAACTCCTACCAGTGCTTCAGTCCTTTCCTTGCCTTCTTTCCCATCTCAGGGCTCTTGCATATTTTGTTCCTCTATCTACAATACCCTTCCAGCGACTTCATCCTGGCTATTCCATTTCACCTATTCAGTGAGACCTCCTGATGGTCCCAGCTAAGCCTTCTTGCTACTGGTCCTCCCCGCATCTGGCTGACTTCTCTCCTGTCACTTCTCACGAGTCACTGTCATAGTTACTCTCTTAAGAGGTAGTTACAAAGCTTACAAGTACAGATTCTAGAGCCATACAGCCTGCCTTCAAATTA